TTGAAAAGATAGCGTTTTCTTCTGTCCTTTTCTCAATACGTATTTCAATGTTTAATACCGTAAAATAATACATGAAAATTCAAATTTTCACAAACTTTAAAATGCTACAGAATATTTACTACTGAATATTAATAAGATATTTTTTTATTAAAATTTTTCTTAAATTCTACTCTACAAAATAGCTATCTTAGATTTTTTTTTTACATTTTATTTAAAATTTAAAAATAATTAATATTATTAATAAAATTAAAAAAAATTAATTATTGAGATATAGCTATAGACCTAACGTATAACTATTATTAAAAAAAAAATCAGCTAAAAATATTAACTGGATCAAAAGTTATTTAAGTTGTATATATATATATATATATGTTGTAAAATAAGAGTAATGTACATGTTTCTTCTTTAAACATAGAGTGATTAAAGAAGTATAGTTTGAATAACATGGATGAATTTACAAAATAACATTTTACAAAAATAATAAATTTATTAATGAAATATTATTTACTCTGGTGTTTTCGGATGTAGTAAGTTATGAAAACCAAAATTTATGTACTCGAGCTTGAATGCTTCATCATAAAATACTTTGAGATTATTACATACTTGGACATAAACTAAACAGGAAATTGAATAGTTATCGTGCTCCATCGCATCATCATTTTTTAATTCATCTTGAAAACTATAGTACTTATTGTTTGTAATAGAAGTAAATGAAATTATCGAAGATATAATGTTATGAAAACTTTTAACATCTTCAAAATCCTTAATAACCATCTCAACTTTAGGATTACCGTTGTTATCGAGGTACTCTTGTATGTCCAATTTTCTATTCGATTGAATGCCATCATTAATAATAGACATTTCATAAATAATACCTGTTTTTTTTTCATACTCATTAAATATGTAATTCATAAGTAATTTACTAAAGAATTGTGTGACATTATTAATATTTTCAAATAGAGTCTTTGAACTTTCTAATGCATCATTAAGTGTAATTAAACATTCAGTAAAATCATAAAATTGGTTTTTTAAATTATAGTTATCACAATATTGTAGTATTAAACCAATATTTTTAATGAAAATTTCTATAACAATTGTGTTGATATTATTAAACAACACACTGGGTACAGTAATATTATTTAAGATAACAGTTTAATGTATTTTTACTTATGTTAGTATAGTACAAGGTCAAAGGGACACATTCCTTTTACGATTATGNAGTTTCTAATAAAGTTTGGAATGGAATCTGAATTTACCATTAAACCGTCTGTTAAGTGTTGCATTGAAGAATCTTCGCCTGGAAATAGAACATATTTGATTACTTCTAATAAATATTCAGCATAATCGCTTTTATCCACGAGTCTATAGCTAGTTGTATCGATTTGATTTATCCAAAATATGAAAAAAGTGAAATAGTATATTTTTATGAACATTTTATAGTCAATTGAAAATATAGAAAACAAAATTTAGAATAACTTATTTGTTAGATTCATATTAGTTAGAATTTATACATATTTTATACAATTAAAGATGTATATTGACTAAAGTTTAGTTTATTTTATCTACTATTTGCAAAGTTGTTTTTAAAATTAAAATATTTGTTTAAGTGTTTTTGGAATAGTTCTAGATATTTGCGAGTTAACATTTTATTTTAAAATTCCGTCACATATACAAAATTATTCAGTTATTTTAAGTTAAATAATTTGGGAATGAATATTCTTAAAATATTTATATCAGCAATTTAATTATTAATAAGCTGTTTTAATTATTAATATTTATACAATTCATAATAATATAAGTGCAGTATGAATGAATAAAAAATTCTTTAAAAAGAAAATCATATTTTTAAATATTTTAATTGCAAGGTTTCAGCCAAACCACAGGACCTACTAATTACCTACAAGCTAGGAAAACATTGTAGAGTGACCTAATAGCCGAGCTAAGCGAGAATAGTTCTCTTTAACGGAGCTACTAGGTTTTGAGTTAAAAAAAAAACAAATATTAATGTAATGATAGAATAGTAAAAAGAGAAAAACAAAGGTCCATGTATAATACAATAACATAATTTTTTTTAAATTATTTAAAATATATATATATATATATAATTTATAAAAACAGAGGACAAAATAAACTAAAAACGAACGTGGTTTTTGGCATCTTTTTGTGGCAGTTGGTGATGACGCCGTGTGGTGGTAGTGCCAACTTCGAACAAGTTGGGTTGTTAAAGATAAAGTATGTCGAATGATAAAGAGTTTATTAAAAAATATTATTTCTCATAAAAAAATTGTGTGGATCCATAAACTTTTCAATAAGTTAAAGCATTATAAAGTTAAATATAATATGAATAATAAAATCGAGAATTTTCACACGAAAATAGCATTCGTTAGCCATTTTCTCCGTGAAGATAAAATAAAGTCCGAAATTTTTTTTTTCTATGATAAAGTACATTACATTAGCTTTAATTTAAGATATATATAAAAGTGTCAGTATTTCCAGAACACTTTCAAAAGTTAAGTTGAAAAAGTTAATTTTTTGTGAAAAAGTTGTCATTTTAAATCCCCCTGTGGGCAGGTAAAGCGTCAGATTTATAAAAAAATATATCAAATGATAGTTAAAAACATCAAGCATCTATAAAAAAAATTATATTGATATGTTCAATTTTCAAAAAGTTACGACAGTTTTTAGTAAAAAAAATTTTAAAAATTTGGAATATTAGCGATTTTTAAATTTTTTTGGAGATTTCCCTCATTTACGGGGAACGTAAATAATATAAAGATACGATTTGTAATCTTTTGACGTATAATTGAAAGAAATTGATTCGGTGAGAGCTGAGAAAAAGTGATAACAGACACAAAAAAAAAACATATCTTAGTAAAACCAATACCTTCTCAGCTTCGCATCGAAGCTAAAATGTAAAATATAAAATCGAGAATTTTCACACAAAAATAGCATTCAGTAGCCATTTTCACCAAAATTTAAGTTGAAAAAGTTAATTTTTTGTGAAAAAGTTGTCATTTTAAATCCCCCTGTGGGCAAGTAAAGGGTCAGATTTATAAAAAAAACATACCAAATTTTAGTTAAAGACATCAAGCATCTATAAAAAAAAGAAATATATTGATCGANAACAAATTTTAGTTAAAGACATCAAGCATCTATAAAAAAAAAGAAATATATTGATCGATACATCTTTCAAAAAGTTATAGCATTATAAAATTAAAAATAAAAAAAAAAGAATTTTTTTACAAAAATCGTATTTTAGCTTCGATACAAAGCCGAGAAGGTATTAATTTTTGAAAATGTTCCGGAAATAATGCGTCCTTTAACTCTTCGTTAGTCACCTTAACGATTAGAATAATCTTAGTCACCCGGGGTAATATAATACCCCATACTTTAAATTAATTTTTTAAATTAATTATTTCATAGAATTAATTTTTATTTTTTGCTAATATATTTTGAATATATATATAATTGATATTTTAATAGTTGAATGCTATATTTTTTAAATATTTCACGATTAGGAGGTGAATATGGTTTTACCTCCAAACAAAAGAAAACGTTTTTAATATGGCTGGGGTATTAAAATACCTCGTGGTGATTAACAAAGGGTTAAACTTATGTCAAATTAAAGCTTATTTTACATATTATAAAATGAAAAAAAACATTTTTTTTTTTAAATTTAAATACTATCTACAGATTTGCATCAAAGCGTTTTTTATGATAGTGATTTTAATCACTGTCAGATATCATCTATACTGGACCCAACCCAATCCCATTGTGCTGGGTTTTTTTTTATATGTTTCCAATTCATAGATAGGGTAGCAGGCGTCATATTGGCCTAGTGGGTAGTAACGTATGTACGGTTTACGGGATCCTGGGATCGATATTGGTGGTATCTAGTCTCTAGTACAATGCGGGTATATTCTCCATCCCTTCCATCATTAACCTAGCCAATAACCATTTTTACTTCCTATCATGTGAAAGAAGGCGATCACACTTTGTAGTATGGGAAATAGAAGGATATAAAATTGATCATTTTTTTATTATGTTTCAAATTTTGAATCCCTCTTAATAATAGAAAATAGTCTGATTTAAAAAAAATATGTCAAATAAAAGGGAAATATGTAAAATACTTTAAAAAATATATATATGAATCCATATATTACATACATATTTCAAACAATTTTAGGAATATAAAGCCAAAAAAATAAAATATGGAATTAAAAATTTTATCATAAAAATAGTATGTTTTAAACACGTCAGCCATTTGCACATAGAAGAAAAGTGTCATTTTTTTTTTAACTTATAGTACGTAACATAAGCTTTAAATTAACATAAGTTTGATGGTTACAGTATTTTCAATAATTAAGTTGAAAAAGTTTAATTTTCGTGCAAGAAGCTATTTTGAATCTTGTATACATTTAAAGGATCAGGTTTTAAAAATATATATACAAAAAGAAAAAAAAATACCTAAGGAATTTTTAGAAATCAAATTTTTTGACGCGTTCTTTTATCAAAAAGTCATAATAGTTTTAAGAAAAAAAAAGTTAGCACAGTGAGGTGGAGTCGAATGGCGATTTATAGCACGCTGTGCACCGCATTTAGCTGGACTTTGAGAAGTTGCGGTCAAAAGCATTAAGAGTTATACCGCGTCTTGGAAGAGACTAGGCTCACAAAAATTAGAGTAGAAGCTATACTGAATTTGCCACCAATAACTTCTATATATAGTGGCCATTCAAGAACTGAGATGGACAAGATCAGGAAGTATAAGGTCAAATAACCATACAGTGTTTTATAGTTGTGGCATAAATCACGAAGCTGGAGTAGGTTTCATAGTCAAGAATGATATACTGCCATATGTTAAAAGTTTTATAGCGTATAATGACAGATTGTGCTACATACAAGTCGAATGTAAATGGTTAAACATGACATTAGTAAACGGCTATGCGCCAACAGAAGAAAACGGAAATCAAATTAAGGAAAAATTCTATAGCGAGCTAGATACCATATATGAATGCATACCAAAAAAATACCAAAAATAATAATGGAAGACTTTAATGTAAAAATCGGGAAAGAGAGAGTTTTTGAACCAACAATCAGCCAAGAAAGTCTGCATCAAGTATCCAATGACAACGGAATAAGACTCATTACATTTGCAGGATCTAAGAATATGCGGATCAGTAGTACATTTTTCCCATACAAGAGAATACACAAAAAACCAGATTGACCACGTAGTGACAGATAACATAGTAAAACATTGGATCCATGATGTAAGAAGTCACAAAGGGGTAGGAACCCACTCAAACCACTTCCAAGTTAAAACGATACTCCGATTAAAACCACCAAGACAATAGTCGCGGAAGCCTAGAGATAAAACAAAATTGAACGTAGAAAACATGAAGAAAGAGAGTATTGTAAGAAAATACAAACAAACAATGATAGCTAAGCTAAACGTCGTAGAACAGTCACTAGACATTCAAAAGAAATGGGAAAATCTAAGAACCATTATTAAAACAACAGCGGAAGAAACAATTGGATTAGATCCCAGGAAAAGACCGAATAAATAGTTCAATGATAACTGCAAGAAGGCGATAGAAGACAGGGACAAAACAAAACTCGAAGTATTGAGATCTAATACAGAAGAAAAAAAGGCAAATACTAGCACAAAAACAGAGAGCATGCAAACAGGTAATAAGAAGGGAAAAAAGAATCTGGGAAAAACAAAAAATAAAAACCATTGAAGAGGAATACCTGTATTCCCGCACCTTTTTTGGAATAACAAACGAGTTAACGAAAAAACATAAACCAAGAACCATGATAATGAAAGATAGCAATAATGTACTGATCACAGAAGAAAAAAAGATTGCGGAAGAATTCAGAGAGACGTTTAAACAGTTATTGGGAAACCAGTGGATACAACAACCGAAGAGAATACAACTACCAAACTGCAGAACCTGAGGATAAAATACCAAGTAAAGAAGAAATAGAAGTAGCCATTAAAATGCTTAAGAATAATAAGGTCCTGGAGAAGACTCAATCATGGCTGAACTCCTGAAGAACGGTGGACAAAAACTAACGCAGGAAATATGGGACCT